TTTACGTAGTACAAAAAACCAAGCGGATTGGTTGGTCCTTGTTTATTTCTCCATCTTAATCTAATTAATTTTGGCGCTTTTTTTAAATTTATCCTATGCTACTGCAGCGCCACCCTTATTGGACGCGTTTTTAGGGACACTTTTCGTATATAGAGATGTATGATCCTCCTTGTACTCTACACTCCATAGATGAGGCCTATGTTCAGCAGTGGTAGTTGATAGGCTGTAATGGTAACAGAAGAGCAACCAGGAAGGATTTCTGCACATTTAATCACTTACATATAATAACTAAACCAGTGTCTCATACTAAACTAACCAGAGTGAACGAGAGTGTAGAAGCTTCGCACAAGTGATACAAACGTCTCGAAATGCACACACACAAGCGCGGAGTATACCTACAGTAGCAGCAGACAAAATAATAGGATATTTTTAGTACGTTATTTGCTACATCTGCTACTGTTGATGAACATCGTGCTGGGCTCGCAATGCATACAGCATTGCGAGCTCCTATACTCTCGTTCACTCTGATAAGGGTAAATAAAATCTGATAGGAATCAAATGTGATGTCTTCTCTAATTTTGTTATTATTACCGCATTAAATTATGAATGTATTTGGAAATATAAGTTTAATTTTTCATTTTGGAGTTACTAAAGAAAAGAACATGTTCTTCATTTATGTTTTTATTTACATCTCTACACATCACATAATTTGACAATTTCTTTACATACTCATAACACGGAAGTATTGTAGTTATTGAATAATTTTACATTTTCTGGCATGACTTACACTTAGATTAGTTTATTACAATTTGTAGTAACTTTAGCACCTGAAAGCAAGCGGTGTGGATGGAACAAATGTTGTAATCGCGATTTTGTACTACTCCATTAAATAATTAATTATAGCAAGCTCACATGACACGTGAAATAATAAAAGTCGTTTACAGTGTCAGTAGCCTAATAGTTATGACTAAAAGAATACGGACTGCGAAACTCAAGTCGTGGATTTAAATCCGACATTTGACTACTATCGTGAACCATTACTAGTACAAGCATTTAAATGTTTAGTTAGTTGTTAAGGGGAGTGTTAGTAGTGTTAACATTACTACTAGTGTTCTTTTTAAAATAATAAAACGAAATCTCAAAATCCTAATCAAACATTTCACAATTTTAATGCACAAATGGTTTGCCATTTATTCAATATAAATACAACCTCAGTCTTATTTTTAAATATTTTAATTCGAAAATATTTAATTACATACCAATTTAAACAAAATAAATACAACAGAATTTAGTGCGTTTACCTAAATTAAAAATAAATTTAAAGAAGGTAACTCTGCACTTAAAGTTCGCATGTTTTGTTTGGGTTCATTAATTTTATTTCTTGCCTTACGCAAGAGTTTATTAAAACTTTTATTTAAATCTATCGAATTAAACTTTTTTGTTTTTACTGAATGATATTGACTAGATCAAAAATAAACATTTGATTAAAGTTGATACCATTCATTACCTTATACTACCTGTGATGTAGGTACATTTCTTAATTTCGCACATAATATGTTATAAGAATACAATTTGTCATTTCAACTAAAATTGCAGTATTTGTTTCTTTTTCGAAAAGCGAAGTACTAATGGCACTTACAAAAGCAAAGTCATAATTACTTATATTTACGCGAACACTACACTTTGAATAAAACTATATTAAAAATAAACGCAATAAAATCCGTAAAATTAGTTTTATTCAAAGTAATGAAATACAATAGTATTAAAGGAAACCATTATTGTTTCTTATAGCATAATAAACACCGTTTTTACAAGTTTATAAATAAGCAAGTAAACTGCTGCATCAATACATCATTAGTCATTACATTAGATACGCTATTAAGTAGGAAATGACTTGATAAATAAATGAACAGTTTAACTCCTTCTGAGTTCAAAATATCTTCCTATATCTATTACGTATGCATTTTAATTATAAAAATATTGTTATAATTCTATATAATATTATCAAATGCCACACGGAATGGAAATATTATTATTCTTATGACTGTAATGGAGATAACTTTATGTAATACAGCTATAAACAATTTAATAAAGCGCCACACAAATACCCAACACAAATGGCATATTATACATATATAGTAGGCATAGACAAACCACACATCGTGAGATCATCAATAGTACTGTGTACTTACGCGATGCTAAACAGTTATTAGAGTTTCGGCGGGAACATAACATTGTTAGTCCTGTTTTATCTTTTATTTAATGGGTTTTGATACATTAATATGATGCGATTTTGTGTATTAAGTGTCTACGCATGTGAACTATTAGTGGAAACGACGAAGCAAGTGCTTTGATTTTGATATAAGCCTCAAGTTATTTTGTTCGCTTAGGCGCCATATGAACTTGAGATACTGTCATTATCGACTATCCATTAGGTTTAGTTGTAGTCAAATTCTCCCAAGAACAGTCACTATACTGACGCATCGGCATATTGTAAAGAAAATTTTAAATTCCGAATAAAATGAAGACATGGCTTAAAGGACAAGCATCCAAAAGCCAAAAACCTTAAAATAATAATAATAAAAAATTTAACAGTTATTTTAAAACTATTGTTTTACCAATTACATATTGCTGTATAGTATTTTGTATAGCATCTTTTTACGTTTAAATTCATTAATTCGTTAATTGGAGATCAAAATTGCATACAATCATAAACGTTGAAATTAAAAAAATGTGTGTACCTCAAAGCCAATGCAATACAACTATATAGACCACTGCTTATACAGATTGTACATTTAAGTCTTAAAGGCAATTTGCTTCTATCTAAATTCTCAGAGGAAATAATGCACCTACAGTAAGATTTGATGTAGACATTTCATGACCATAAATATCGCATATTGTAAAGTGAACAATTTAAATTAGAGATGTACTTAATTTTATTATTATCGTATGTACTTATTAGTCATCGTTTACAGATAAAAAAAACAACACTCGAAACAACAATAGGGAATTCTTCCTTCGAACAATGATCCATCCTACACATTAGGAAAAACAATAAATATTTGAATGACATAATTAAAAATTTCAACAAAAAGTAAAAACCGACTTCAAATTGCTAAAAAATAAGTTATTTATTTGCTACCCTTACGGGTGGAATTTTTTCTCTAAATTTACATGTGATCACCCTGAAGTAAAACCTATTTAATAAAAAAAAATCATCAAAATTAGTTCACAATCTGCGAAGACATCGTGTAACATACATACAAAACAGCATATACACTCGAATTGAGAACCTCCTCCTTTTTAAGCTCGGTTAAAAATTAAGAAGAAATACATTTTAACTAATTCTTATTTTATATTTGCTCTAATTTTAGAGCTTGAAAGATCCATAGCCGAGCTATAGCGTAGGACGGACATGATATTATAATTTATTTTACGATTTTCATCTGCACGTAAACTGAAAATCAAAACTAGTTGTGCAGCTAACTAACAGCTTCCAATTATCAAACAAATATTATAATTACGATTAAAACAATCTACCGTAATTATTGCAACATACAATATTGGTAAGCAGAATATTTAAAAATATCGAAAAATATGTCATTGTATGGAAGATTTTTCAAAGCGTCAGTTTAATTTGGCCACATTTTATTTTAGTGCTAATGGTTATTAAATAACAGTTGATGTTAACAGTAGGTAATTATTATATGGTATGGTATGGTATAATTTGTTTAATTTTACTTTAAAATTAATAATGTCATGTATCAATGCATCTATCTAAAATATTTCATTATGTTAAATACATAGATGATATTTTTTTATAATATCAGCAAAATATAATATTAATTAGTCGTAGTCATTCTAGTTAGGGGCAATATTTTACATTAGTACTAACTAAGGTGTACAACAAATTTGTTGCAAACAGCATTCTTCACAATAAAACATATAGTAGGTTTCATTCAAGTACAACTATAATGGTGAATTATTATTACTGATAAGTAGGAAAATAAACTGAGATGCTTTAGTGTAAGTTCTAGGCAAATAACAGACCAAGTCTTCTTCTAAAGTGTAATCATTGAAAATACTTAAGAGATACAGTTAAATTTTGTAAATACAATTTTTATTATCAACACTAAATATATTAGTCAATTTATATGGCAGCGCTGCAATAGCTTGTTTGACCTCAGAATTTTTTTATCATTATTTTTCTAATTTATTACTAGGTGAAAATAATACAATCCGATTAAAATATCTCTTTTAACATTTTACATGAATTTCTTAGTGTGTAATTTGTGATATGAACTGTCACAAATTACACATAAAAAAATAAATAAAAGCAGGACTATTAACCGGTCGTTAACTGTACCACATTGGGCAGGATGCAAAGGCATATTCCGATGGTCAGTTTTATTATAAATACCTACCTACGTTAATTTAATTATAAACAAAAAATATTATAACGTTCTAGTCCTAACTTGATATTTAATCGTAAACCGATAGGTGTGGTAGCGATTGTGGTTAGCTGCAATCTGTAAACCCCGTACCGGAAACCAGAGAGGGTAGAGTTATCTGCAGCAATACATAGTTGTGTTAAGTTGTATGTCATATGTTGTGCTCTTAGATCCGTATACAGAGACAATTTCGCTTTAAATAAATGTCAAAATTCATTGTAGGATGTAAACACAAATTATGACACTGTGGAGTTTGAGCTTTGACAGGTATTCAGAGACAATATCGAGTTTAAACTCAAAGTTAATTTTAAGATTTTAAATTTTCAATAAACGTTACACCCACACTAGGATTTTCTTCTATATCGTGGTGGGAGTTTAGAAACAAAAATTGCACATGAACAAACATCCAGACCCGGAACAATTATTTGTAGGCCATAATTATTTCGTGCGGGATTCGAACCCGCGGCCCCAGCGCTGCATCTCATTGCTAAACCACTGCGCCAAGAAGTTGTCAATTGTTGTCGGATTATCTCTGAATACCGGCTAGGGCTAGGGTGTTGTGAAGTTGTTGGTGGCGGCGGTGTGGAGCGGTTGCGGCGCGGGCGGCGCGGCGAGCGCGAAGGCGAGGCGCTCGAGGCGGCGCTGCAGCGCTGCGAGGCGCGCCCAGCCGTCCACTGCGGCTAGCGCTGCCAGCGCTGAGTCCAGCGCTTCGTATCGCTGCCGCCGCTCATTTTCGTCGCAACCTGCCAGCTCCTACGACATTTTCATTTATTCTTTAATTTACTCCAAAAATACATATACCTAATTTTATTTATTTACGTATTTACACCAAGCACTATACACAGAATTAATTACACATACAAAACACCAAGGCAAATTGGAGCCTATGTATTGTTTTGTTTGAACAATTTAAAAAAGTTTCAAGTATAGTATATCCATAACTAAAATTTAGCAAAATTGTTGCATGGGTCAATTGCAGTCGCCTTTTTTTTGTCCCTCGGCCCAACAAGTGACCTTGATTCAATATAAATTCCAAATAGATCTATAGTAGATAGATAGATTTTTTAAAAACACCTGAAACGCTTCCTGTCAAGCGGAGATCAGCGCTCATAAATCGTACTACTTCTATACTTTGATCGCCTAGCTGGCAAGCGTATGATCGTAAATAGCAGGATTATGGGGGCTATACGTGGTAGAGCCATGCTGCAGCTATATTAGAAGTATAGTTGTAGCACGAATGGGTCGGCGCGGCCGTGAAAGTACCACACTCTCACAGAATACCAGCGTAAAATAGCAGCTTAACACTGCTGTGTTTCGTATGGTGAGTGTAGAAAGCCGGAGACCCTTTTTACTTGAAAAGAGGCATTCTATCTTAGTCCTCCCGGGTGACAACGCATCTGCAGTTTGATTCTTTATTGAGGATAGATGTAGATGTCTATGGGCCACAGCAACCACTTACCATCAGGTAGGCTGTGTGCTCGTTTGTCACCCTATCCTATATAAAAAAAGTTAATCTTGTTCGCTATCCAGCAGGTAGTCGATGGATCCATTTAGCTCAGTTGGGTTAGCCAAGATGACTTTCTACGATCATTAACGATATAGACAACTATAAAAATAAATTAAATCAATCATGACTTAATGTTGTCAACGTGTACGACTTAAAGTTTATATATGTCAATCCAATTCATTTTAATAAGGTGAAGTGGCAATGGACCGGACATATAGATCGAAGAACCGACAACCGAAGATAGGTTCTCGAATAGCAGCCTCGTAGGCGAAGTGTAGGGCGGCCCCCCATTAGATGGAGTAACGAGCTGGTAAGACATGCGAAAAGACGAGGTGGCTCGGGACCGTGCTTCGTGGCGTTCCTTGGGGACACCTATGTTTAACAGTGGACTTGTGAAGGGCTGTAGTGATGATGATGATGATTCATTTTTATAGTTTTCTATAGTAAAATGTAATCTTGGTTAACCCCGCTAGGCCGTACTTTGTGGCAATCTATGGGTGAGGCCTATTAGCAGTCGATTTGTGATAGCTTTGTAGTGGTAATGGTTATTGTCGAGCAAGCGTATCGTGGAGCATCTAAAGTACCTTCTCTTCTTCTCTAAAGAAGGCGAGGTTTGTTTTCAAGTCTACTGAGTTTTGCGAAAACCTTCAAATATTGGTTTTTCTTATTGTTCTCACTCTGTACTCAGTCAAAAATAAAAAAAATAAATATTTAAATAACACAATTTTAAATAAAAGCTTTATTTACCTTCTCAATCATATCCACGTCGTCTTCTTCATCGTACTGTGCCACCTGTTTTCTTAGCGTCTGAAAGCAAACACAAAATATGTCAAAACAGTTTAAAATAAAACGCCTCTCAGTGTACAAGCGTTATAATATTTAGCAAATAAACATATGTTTTGTAGTTCTGCGCAAGCAATTTAATAGTGTATTTAATTTTACACAAGTCGGTTATTCACACAATGACTTTTTGGGCACGGTTGTATGTATAATGGGTTATTTACAATTATTCCAGTGATTATTTACAAGAGTGCTGACGCCGGCGCGAATAACCGCGTCATAGTTTCGTAAGCTGTGTTGCTGTGAATTGTATGTTCTCTCTAAGAATCTACGCGTATATTGGAGGAACAATTTCTATATAATAATCTCGAGAAAACATAATATGTTGCAGGATATTTATGTTTGTTAATGATAAATATTACATAATATTATGAATTCGTTGTTTTATTATAAAAATGAAACGTAGGAATGGTTTTGTTAAAATATCGATATCGATATTTTACTCATCTTACAACATATTACTACTCTTGTACTGCGTGATAAGATTAAGAATACACGTAAAAACAAAAAATATAGTATTTTATTATTAAAGTGATTCACAAGAGAAAGAAAAAAAAGAGAGAGAGAGAGAGAGAGAGAGCATACGAGGTTTATCAAAAGAGTGCATCTAAAAGCTACAATAAATGCTGTCAACGTATGAATTAATTAACCTTGGGTTTTTATTCTTGACTCGAGATCGCCAAGCAGGGCCTGAATGGTGTAAATACCTGTTTCACATTAAATCAGTTAACGGCACTAACAAACCACTACGTTCTGGTCACAGACCGAAATAACACATTCATAAAAATATATTGTAACAATATTATTTTTCAAAAATAAGTATGTTCATTTTGCCTCGTGTGTTGGTTTTAGGTTTTTAAGGAATTTAATGGGGAAAGAAAACTTGCCGCGGCTCTACGCATAATGTCACTGTGACATGTATACATTTGAAAATGTCCAATTTTATGTATTTAATATACCTCATACAGACCATATACTAAGTAAATAGTAGCTAATCAGGGGTGTCACTTCCACTATGGAAGGTATGGAGCACTCCATACCTCAAGTTTTTCAAGGTATGGAATTCCATAGCTGAAATTAGGAAATAAATCGCATATTACTACAAACCCCATATAAATAAATCGCAAGCCCTTAAACCTCAATACCCCACATCTTATAGTTCAATAAATAAGTTGAGTATATACACTGCAAACGCTTAAACCTTAATACCCCACGAGTAATGCGAACAAATTTGAAAATCGCGCCACCATTTTCCATACCTCAGATTTTTACAAAGTGACACGCCTGTAGCTAATTCCAGTAATTAGCTCAAGAAAAAAAAACTGTTCGTGTAATTGTGTACACGCGTACAAAGTGAAAGTTCTTTACGATATATCATTCGTATCGCGCTTTATTTTATATTTTACAGTAGGTTAAATAATAGTATATTTATGGAGCGCCGGCGGAGAAACGTTACAAAAAACGTGACGTTCTTTTAAAAATAGCGTTTCGGTTGTTATACAGTTTTTTTAATGTGATAGAGGGTAGGACCACACTCTCACAGAATACTAGTGTAAAATAGCAGCTCAATGCTGCTGTGTTTCGTATGATGAGTGTAGAGAACCGGAGACCCTTTTTACTGGAAACGAGGCATTTCGTCTTAGTCCTCAGGGGTGACAACGCTTCTGCATTTTGATTCTTAAAATCGAGGATAGATGTAGAAGTCTATGGGCCACAGCATCCACTTACCATCAGGTGGACTGAGTGTCCGTTGGTCATCTTTATTCTAAAAGAAAAAACAGTACCTACCCATACCATCCCTGGAGCTGATTTATGATTAAATGAAATAGCCGATGCTGATTATGACTATGGTTGCTGCAAAGCGTCAGATACGTTGGTATTAAAAAAAAAGTTTATATTAAACGCGCTAAAATATGTATACCCCTCCAATGACAATGTTTGCGCTAGGAGCGGTAGTGGAATGACGGATTCGAACCCGTAATGAGTTTTGTGGTTATTCTTAACCATTAATACTATCGCCTTACAATGTAAATTATGATAGATAACACATTTTCTTAAAACATTCAAGGAGTGTAGTAAGTCTTTGAGCTTTGAAATTATTTTACTATTTCTTGAATCGGAAACGATGTTTAAAACGACAGTGAAAGGCTGCGAAGACGATCGCATAAGGCTGATTGTAAGTGTTCCTAGCAAACTAGAATAATTTATTTTATAAAGAAAGGCTATATTTCGTGTTTTATTACTGTGCTTTATAATATAAGTCTCTGTTATTTTTCTTTATACCAAAAATTCGTGTACACCTATTTCATTTTCACTAATGCATTTTTTTTTCTTCTTTCTTTCTTACTAATAATCCCAGCAACAGCCAATATTTGTACAAAAAACAAATTTTCAAAAACACGGCTGAGGGGTTGTTATTATAATCAAGTTATGTGGAAAGGGTTGCCATAGCCCGATGCATTAATAAAAATAAATAAACATTCTAGTAGAAATCCCAAAAATCTGAAAAGGCCTTTACTGAATACTTTAGAATTTAAAATAACAAATAGTGTGGCTTTGAGTTTATAAAGTAGAGATAATCTGCACACACACTGGTAGGTTAGAGATAAATATGAAATACATTATATTGTTTTATACATTTTCAAGTAATATAATACATAGGCTATAGAAGACTTCGCGTAGTGGCGGCGTAAGCGGATCCACTATCCCGTAGCATCCTGTGGGTGTCGTAAGAGGCGACATAAGGAAACTGAAACAGGAGATGGGATGGGCGGCAACTTCCTTATAACAACTTAAAAAATTAAAAATACTGCGGATGTCAACACGCCTGTCAAAGCGGACTTTTATAGGCCGTAATGGATTAGAAGCCTACCGATTTCGAAAAATTCGTGAAGAGGGGGGGGGGGGGGGGTTGTGACATTTTTTGCTCTAGTACCCTCGAGCGGTAGGGCTACGCTAGGCTTGAACTACGCCGCCGAGAGGTAGGTACATAAGTTGTGCGGGCTAGAAGTAGGTACACTCACTTCGACGGACTGCCTATACTGCTCCATCATATTCTTACTGGCGTCCAGTTCAGCCAATTTCTTCACCACCACGTCCGCTACGTTCTTTTCCGTTACATCGATCTTGTCTCTGCAACCAAGCAATTTTCAATTCAATTTTATGAAGACTTGTTCCTTTAATGAGCATTGGAAAATTTTCCTCGACCGCAATTCCAAAAGATATTTTATACATGACTAGTGATCCACCCCGGCTTAGCACAGGTGACTTCTGAATCTCGATAACAGAGCCACATCTAACAGTTGTGAATCTAAACCATTATAGAATCAACTTAATAAAACACACAAAAAATTTCATCCAAATCAGTCAAGCCGTTTAGGAGTTCAGTCACATACAGAAGGGCAGAAGAATTATTATATTATATGTATAGGGTTATTTTTGAATGTATGCCCAAATTTGCAAAGGTTCAGAATAAGTAATATATATTGTTGTATATAATTAGGTGAATAGTGTAAAAAATATATAAAAATCCCAAACATTCTGTCCTTTTTGTCTTTTAAATTCAGAATGCGTGGTAATGCATTATTTTAACTGATTGTCATTCATAAATATCTACTTATTTACCACGCACGCACACATTCGTAAGGGTCGCTCGGTTACAAACCTAGGTACCTTGTCTCGCGTCCTCCCGCTATTCACTTCCGTTAACCGTTACATCGCTAGGTAACTACGTCCGTCCGGCCGGCCGACAGCTGACAGTGTTTACTGTGACCTAATTACGTACGAGTGTGCTATTTTTAAATTTTCGTACGTATTGTCGTTTCGTTACAAATGACGGAACGAAAATATTCGAACCACCAATATTATGAAACTATGAAATGGTGGGGTATTATATCTTAAGTAATGAAAGATTACGTGTTGCGCAAAGATTATACAATAGTTTGGAAAAGCCAAAAGTGCAGCGTTTCATTTAATTTCGATGAAAAAAAAAACAAAATAAATCGATTACACAAAGTATAAAATCGATATAGGCTGTATGGTATATTTGGCAAGGGCAAAAAAAATATGAAAGCGCCTTTAAATTTGTAATAGCAATAAAACTTATAAAAGTTGAAAATCATTTTATAAACAAACTACGCGTACTAGGCTATTGATATTAAATAGGGAACCAGTTGATGTAATTCTGAAGCTAATAAAAAGCCAGTCTCGATATGTCAATTTTTTTCGGGAGTTATCGTGACGAAATACGAAATCAACATCCACGTAAAATTTTTGACAAACTGGTTTTTTCAAAGTAGCAAATAAAATGATTTTTTAGAAAATATAAGATGGATTAATTAGCGTTTTTTTGACATACACCTAGTCATATTATCGTATAAGTGCAATATGGTTATGATAAAAGCATTTTAAGAACATTTTGAGGTACTAATATTAATTATTTGGACAACTTGCGTAATTTCTTTGTAAATAGTTTATTCATATTTTCAAATACGCCATAATAAGGATAGTCATTGGTTACGTCGTTGATAATCATCATCATCATCATTACAGCCCTTCACAAGTCCACTGCTGAACATAGGCCTCCCCCAAAGAATGCCACAAAGCACGGTCCTGAGCCATCTGCATCCATCGACTTCCTGCATATCTTACCAGGTCGTCACTCCATCTAGTGGGGGGACGCCCTATACTTCGCCTTCGGTACGAGGCTGCCACTGGAGAACCTTTCTTCCCCATCGGTTGTCGGTTCTTCGAGCTATATGGCCGGCCCATTGCCACTTCAGCTTATTAATCCGTTGGGCTATGTCGGTCACTCTGGTTCTACTGCGGATATCCTCATTTCTGAGTTTATCACGCAGAGAAACTCCGAGCATAGCCCTCTCCATAGCTCGCTGAGCGACCTTGAGCTTCCTCATCCGGCCAGCAGTGAAGGACCACGTCTCAGTTCCGTATGTCATCACTGGCAACACGCACTGGGTGTACCGTTTTCAAGTTTTGAGGTATACCTGACGAGAAGATGTGCCGTAATTTCCCGAACGCTGCCCAACCGAGTTGAATCCGTCGATTGACCTCTCGGTCGAAGTTGGACTTACCTAGTCGGACTATTTGTCCCAGGTAAACATACTCGTCAACAACTTCGAGCTTAGTGTTCCCAACAACTACCGGCATAGGTGTGACATGGACATTAAACATGATCTTTGTTTTGTCCATGTTCATCTAAGACCTATCCGTTGGGAAACACTATTGAGGTCATTGAGCATAGTGCTTAGGTCCTCCAGCGATTCTGCCATAAGGACTATATCGTCGGCAAATCGAAGGTGAGTGATGTACTCGCCATTGATGTTGATACCGTATCCTTTCCAGTACAGAAGCTTGAAAACATCTTCCAATGCAGCGGTAAAGAGTTTCGGGGATATGACGTCACCCCGTCTTACACCTCTCTGCAATTGGATAGGTTTCGTACTCTGGTTCTGTACTCGGATAGCCATCGTAGCCCTACTGTACAAGCACTTCAACACTTCGATATACCGACAGTCAACTTGGCATCGCTGAAGGGACTGCAGCACCGCCCAAATTTCGACGGAATCAAAGGCTTTCTCATAGTCCACATACGCCAGAAATAGTGGCAAATTGTACTCTTCGGACTTCTGTACAATTTGCCGAAGGGTATGTATATGGTCTATGGTGCTAAAGCCTTTTCGGAAACCGGCTTGTTCGGGAGGCAGGAAGTCGTCAAGTCTGCGCGCGAGACGATTCGTAATGACTCTCGAAAACAGCACGTAGACGCGGCTCAGAAGGGAAATCGGTCTGTAGTTCTTCAAGAGAGCGTTGTCGCCTTTCTTGAAGAACAAGATCACCGCACTTCTGCTCCACGCCTCCGGTGTAATGCCACCATGGAGGACGGAATTAAAGAGCTTCTCAAGGACTTCAAGTACCGGTTTTCCACCCGCTTTCAGAAGCTCCGCTGTAATTCCATCCTCGCCTGGGGCCTTGCCATTTTAAGGTGCTGGAGAGCCATTCTAATCTCGCTCAGACTGACGTCCCGGATATCATCGGAATAATGTCGGATAAGACTCGCTCTTGGATCGTTACTCACACTGGCGTGCGGCTCCAACGATGACGTGTACAGCTGCCCATAGAACCTCTCAATCTCACTCAAAATCTCAGGTGCCCCGGAAACGATGTTGCCACATTCGGTCTTCAGCTTTGACAGTTGGCTCTTTCTGGCAGATAGATCTCTGGCAAAGACTTTGAAGCTTTGGTTCCGCTCGATCGCTTCTTCAATACGAGCTGTATTGAAGTTGCGTAAGTCCCGCCGCATGCATTTGGAGATCTGTCTGTTCAGTTGCCTGTATGCTGTCAAATCTGTTGAAGAATGTAGCTTCATCTCCCGTCTAACAGCCATGAGATTAAGAGTGTGATCGGAGAGAAAAACTTTCCGATCACACTGATCGGAGAGTTTTTGTGTTCTTCTGCGGCGGGTCTTGCAGAACTTAGCTCTGACCGCATGGACAGTTTCCACGAGCTTGTCATTCAAATCGTCCACTTTATTGCAGTCTTCTAGGCACTGAAAACGGTTTTGTAACTCGAGCTGAAAGGTTTCGGGACTTTGGATTAGAGCACGAGGGGGACGGAGCGTTGACTTCATTAGACGAGACCTCTCCAACTTAACGTTTAGGTTCAGTGTGCCTCTAACCATTCGGTGATCGTTGCCGGTTTTCACCCTCGCGATCACTGAGGCATCACTGAACAGTTGTCGTCTGGTCGTCATAATGAAGTCAATATCATTTTTTGTAGAACCGTCGGGGCTCGACCAGGTCCACTTCCTGTGGGGCCGCTTCTGGAAGAAAGAGTTCATCATAAAGAGTCCCTCTTTCTCCATGAAGTCGGCCAGCTGCTGGCCCCTTGGGTTCCGTTGCCCTATTCCAAATTTCCACACTTTCAGCTCACCGTTCTCTCTTGTGCCTAGTTTTGCATTGAAGTCTCCCATTAACACCGTATATTGGGTTTTGGAGGAATGCATGGCTCTAGAGATATCCTCATACATTTCCTCCACCTCCTGGTCGTTGATAAGCTAAAATATTTTTTAATTTTATATTATTTATTATTACGATCCTAAGCCTGTTAAAAGTCTGAAGGGAAAATTGGAATCATAATTTGTGTCGTGTAGTTATTAACTTAAGCATTAGTAGTAAGCGTGTCACTAAGAAAGTAAACAGTGGGCAAAAACTTGAGAAACGAAAAGTACAGTGTACAGTGTATAGTGTACAGTGCACAGTCTACAGTGCACAGTGTACAGTGTACAGAGCACAGTGTACAGTGTACAGTGTACAGTGCGTACCTGAGCGCGTGCGCGAGCGCGGCGGCGGGCGCGTCGTGCGCGCGCGCGGCGGCGAGGCGCAGCGCCCGCAGCAGCTCGGACAGTGTACAGAGCACAGTGTACAGAGCACAGTGTACAGAGCACAGTGTACAGAGCACAGTGTACAGTGCGTACCTGAGCGCGTGCGCGAGCGCGGCGGCGGGCGCGTCGTGCGCGCGCGCGGCGGCGAGGCGCAGCGCCCGCAGCAGCTCGGACAGTGCACAGTGTACAGTGTACAGTGCACAGTGTACAGAGCACAGTGTACAGTGCGTACCTGAGCGCGTGCGCGAGCGCGGCGGCGAGGCGCAGCGCCCGCAGCAGCTCGGACAGTGCACAGTGTACAGTGTACAGTGCACAGTGTACAGAGCACAGTGTACAGTGCGTACCTGAGCGCGTGCGCGAGCGCGGCGGCGGGCGCGTCGTGCGCGCGCGCGGCGGCGAGGCGCAGCGCCCGCAGCAGCTCGGACAGTGCACAGTGTACAGTGTACAGTGCACAGTGTACAGAGCACAGTGTACAGTGCGTACCTGAGTGCGTGCGCGAGCGCGGCGGCGGGCGCGTCGTGCGCGCGCGCGGCGGCGAGGCGCAGCGCCCGCAGCAGCTCGGACAGTGCACAGTGTACAGTGTACAGTGCACAGTGTACAGAGCACAGTGTACAGTGCGTACCTGAGTGCGTGCGCGAGCGCGGCGGCGGGCGCGTCGTGCGCGCGCGCGGCGGCGAGGCGCAGCGCCCGCAGCAGCTCGGACAGTGCACAGTGTACAGTGTACAGTGCACAGTGTACAGAGCACAGTGTACAGTGCGTACCTGAGTGCGTGCGCGAGCGCGGCGGCGGGCGCGTCGTGCGCGCGCGCGGCGGCGAGGCGCAGCGCCCGCAGCAGCTCGGACAGTGCACAGTGTACAGTGTACAGTGCACAGTGTACAGAGCACAGTGTACAGTGCGTACCTGAGCGCGTGCGCGAGCGCGGCGGCGAGGCGCAGCGCCCGCAGCAGCTCGGACAGTGCACAGTGTACAGTGTACAGTGCACAGTGTACAGAGCACAGTGTACAGTGCGTACCTGAGCGCGTGCGCGAGCGCGGCGGCGGGCGCGTCGTGCGCGCGCGCGGCGGCGAGGCGCAGCGCCCGCAGCAGCTCGGACAGTGCACAGTGTACAGTGTACAGTGCACAGTGTACAGAGCACAGTGTACAGTGCGTACCTGAGTGCGTGCGCGAGCGCGGCGGCGGGCGCGTCGTGCGCGCGCGCGGCGGCGAGGCGCAGCGCCCGCAGCAGCTCGGACAGTGCACAGTGTACAGTGTACAGTGCACAGTGTACAGAGCACAGTGTACAGTGCGTACCTGAGTGCGTGCGCGAGCGCGGCGGCGGGCGCGTCGTGCGCGCGCGCGGCGGCGAGGCGCAGCGCCCGCAGCAGCTCGGACAGTGCACAGTGTACAGTGTACAGTGCACAGTGTACAGAGCACAGTGTACAGTGCGTACCTGAGTGCGTGCGCGAGCGCGGCGGCGGGCGCGTCGTGCGCGCGCGCGGCGGCGAGGCGCAGCGCCCGCAGCAGCTCGGACAGTGCACAGTGTACAGTGTACAGTGCACAGTGTACAGAGCACAGTGTACAGTGCGTACCTGAGTGCGTGCGCGAGCGCGGCGGCGGGCGCGTCGTGCGCGCGCGCGGCGGCGAGGCGCAGCGCCCGCAGCAGCTCGGACAGTGCACAGTGTACAGTGTACAGTGCACAGTGTACAGAGCACAGTGTACAGTGCGTACCTGAGTGCGTGCGCGAGCGCGGCGGCGGGCGCGTCGTGCGCGCGCGCGGCGGCGAGGCGCAGCGCCCGCAGCAGCTCGGACAGTGCACAGTGTACAGTGTACAGTGCACAGTGTACAGAGCACAGTGTACAGTGCGTACCTGAGTGCGTGCGCGAGCGCGGCGGCGGGCGCGTCGTGCGCGCGCGCGGCGGCGAGGCGCAGCGCCCGCAGCAGCTCGGACAGGCGCGCGTCGAGCGCCAGCACGCGCTCCAGCAGCGAGCCGCGCTCCGCGTCCTCCGCCTCGGAGCGCTGCCGCTGCGTGATTGCCGCCGACAGGTTGCGCAGCGACTCGCGCTCCGACGCCGAAGCCGATTCTCCCTCTACACACAAATATATTCCATTCATTTTTACCACGTGTAAAAGTGATTATATGAATAAACAGTTAACCTAACGGATAATAATGCAGGTTATGGATACCTTCAACCCACGTCAAAAAAGAAACCCAGAAATGCGTCACCACCCCTAAGATTTAAGATATAAGAATAGGTCAATACAGAACAATAACAGTGTGTGTTACTGTATTGTACGAAAGTGACACTGAAAGTTCTTAGAAATTTAAAAAATTGAACAAACTAGCAAGTTATTACTTTTATTATATCTTTTCAAAATAGTGTCCATTTACATCAATACATCGTAACATCCGATGGATCTACTGAGAAAAGCACTTTGCCCACTCGTCCTTAGGGGTCTCTTCGCCGGTATATTGAAACGCAGCCACTGCTTACTCGGCGTCCATAAAACGTTTTCCTCGAAGTTTTTCTTTTATTTTCGGAAATAAATAGAAATGGCAAAGTGCGAGGTCGGAGCAATAGGGCGGGTGACCCGTAATTCCACATCTGACATCGCCAAGTATTCGATTGTTTGCTTGGCGGAGGCGTTGTCGTGGTGAAGAAGGTTCCTACTGCGAGGTTGTTTCTCCCGAACTTGTTCCAAGACAAGTGGCAAACAATTGTTAGTGTAACACTCTGCATTAACTGTTTTTCGATCCTCTAAAACAATTGTTGCGTTGTCTGTCCTTCCGAAGAAGGAGGCCGCCATCTTTTTCCCACGCTTCGACCTCTCTTCACTTTAGTTGGCCACTCCTCGGAAGTAAACACCGAGACAGTACTGTCTCTTAGTTTCAGGATCATAACAATAAATCCAGCTTTCGTCACTCGTAAGTATGTCGAACATAGCATTTGAGTCACCTCCGTTAAATCTTTGAATCATTTCCGACGCCAATCCAAATCCAAAAAGTTTTTGGGCCTTTGTCAAATTATGAGGTATCCACCGGGAATAAAGCTTCCTGACCGCTAAATGTTCATGGAGGATTTTATGCCCTTGACTCATACCGATGCCTAAGCTTGTCCAAATCTGCTGATAAGTCACTCTTTTGTCAGTCTCTATCATACGCTACATACCACTAATGTTATCTTCAGTCGTCGCCGTAGAAAGCCTCACGCAGATCATCGGTGAGAATAGTGCGACCACGTTTAAACTCATTAAACCAGTTGTAAACAGTAGCGCGAGATAGGGCTTCATCGTGAAAGGCAAATTGTCTATCATAACTTTATTGTTGACTTAAATAACATCGAAAGTCATAAAATATCACTGTACGAAAATTTTCTCGCGTTAAATTAACGCTGATGTGACACAGATAATTTTTGATTTGCCGCTAAATCCACCACCGACCATCCCGCGGTGTGAGTGCTCCATGCCGGACATGCGGTTCTCACAGTGCTCGGTTCGCAAAGCACTCCTCTCCCTGGACATCCACAAGTCGAGTGGGCCTGACAGAAATTCCCCAATTGTGCTGAGGACGTGCGGTATCTTGAGGATCACCAGCTGATTAGGGACCGACAATACGGTTTTCGTCGGGGTCGATCAGCTGGTGATCTTCTGGTCTACCTGACTCATAGATGGGCGGAGTCAGTAGAGTCCAAGGGGGAGGCGTCGGCCGTTACTTTGGACATTTCGAAGGCTTTCGATCGGGTTTGGCACAAAGCGCTTCTTTCGAAGCTCCTTTCCTATGGCCTTCCCGAGAAATTGTGCAATTGGATCACCATTTTCCTTGCGGATCAGAGCATCAAGGTCGTTGTAGACGGTGCATGCTCCGACTACAATCCTACTAACGCTGATGTTCCACAAGGCTGTGTGCTATCACCAGCGCTGTTTCTTCTTCATATCAATGATATGTTGCAAACTGGAACATTCATTGCTATGCAGACGACAGCACTGGTGATGCCTTATATACCGGCCGTGCCGATATTTTCACCACGTCCAAATGGCTGCAGACTCCGTGCTACAACAGGTCCCATCCGCAGAGATCGTGATACTCGGTGATTTCAACGCCCACCACGCTGAATGGCTTGGTTCTCGTTTAACCGATCATGCGGGTAGATCTGTCTATGACTTTGCTTTGGCATATGGTCTAACACAACTGGTTACTTCGTCTACGTGGATCCCATATGTGGAAGACCATGTACCTTCCCTGTTGGACCTTCTGCTGACCTCTCATCCGGACGGATATCAGGTCTCCGTCGATGTCCCTCTGGGCTCTTCGGACCATTGTCTGATACGGAGCACGGTGTCACTCACGCTCCAATCGCAGTTGCGATCTGCAGCTTGCCGCCGTGTTTGGCACTATAGGTCAGCTGATTGGGACGGGATGCGGTCTTTTTTTGCATCCTACCCTTGGGGGCGGGTTTGCTTCTCGCCGGAAGATCCCAGCGTTGTTGCCGATTCTGTTGCTGATGTGGTACTTCAGGGTATGGAACTTTTTATTCCATGCTCTGTGGTGCCCATCGGAGGCAGATCCCAGCCATGGTTTGGTCGCTCCTGTAAAATAGCTTCACGCTATAAGCAGGAGTGCTACCGGGCCTGGGCTGACGCATCAACGTCTCGGGATGTAAACACCAGCGCACTTAAAAAGAAGTATAATTCCGCCTCCAGGTCCTTCAAAAGCGTCATTGCCAAGGCAAGGTCTGAGCACATCGGCAGAATTGGCGAGAAGCTAGTTCGCCTTCCTTCGGGAACCCGTGCATTCTGGTCTCTCGCCAAGGCTGTCCAAGGGAACTTCTGTCAGCCATCTCTTCCATCTCTGCACAGAGAGGACGACTCATTAGCCCATGCCGCAAAAGAGAAAGCCGATCTGTTGTGCTCTCTTTTGGCGTCTAACTCGATTCTAGATGAGGGGGGGGGGGGAACACACCGCCGACCATCCCGCGATGTGAGTGCTCAATGCCGGATGTGCGATTTACACAGCGCTCGGTTCGCAAAGCACTCTTCTCCCTGGACGTCTGCAAGTCGAGTGGGCCCGATGGAGTCCCTCCCATTGTGCTGAAGACGTGTGCTCCGGAGTTGGCACAGGTTTTAACGCGTCTTTTCCGGTACTCCTACTCCCAAGGCGTAGTCCCGAATTCATGGAAGACAGCTTTGGTCCACCCGATCCCTAAAAAAGGCGACCGCTCAGACCCGTCCAACTACAGGCCTATCGCCATCACCTCCTTGTTCTCCAAAATAATAGAATCCATTATAAACTGCCAGCTCATGAGGTACCTTGAGGATCACCAGCTGATTAGTGACCGCCCGTACGGTTTTCGTCGGGGTCGATCAGCTGGTGATCTTCTAGTCTACTTAACTCATAGATGGGCGGAGGCAGTAGAGTCCAAGTGGGAGGCATTGGCCGTTAGTTTGGACATAGCGAAGGCCTTCGATCGGGTCTGGCACAAAGCGCTTCTTTCGAAGCTTCCTTCCTATGGGCTTCCCGAGAAATTGTGCAAATGGATCACCAGTCCTTGCTGATCGGAGCATCAAGGTCGTAGTAGACGGTGCATGCTCTGATTTCAAACCTATCAACGCTGGTTTTCCACTGCTGCGTGCTATCACCTACCGCTGTTTCTTCTGCATATCAATGATATGTTGCTAACTGGTAGCATTCATTGCTATGCAGACGACAGCATTGGGGATGCCTTATATAACGGCCGTGCCAATATGTCTCGGGAAAACGTCGCCGAGTACCGGGACAAACTTGCGTCTGAAGTCGAGTCTTTGCTTAACAAAATCTCGAATTGGGGCCGACTAAATCTAGTCCAGTTCAATCCCCAGAAGACACAAGTTTGCACGTTTACCGCTAAAAAGAACCCCTTTGTCGTGTCTCCTCAATTTCAAGGCACTCCCCTTGTTGCCTCAGCCAGTATCGGAATCCTCGGCGTCGACATATCGAGTGACGTGCAATTTCGTGGTCACTTGGAAGGGAAGGCCAAATTGGCCTCTAAAAAGCTTGGCGTGCTCAACAGAGCGAGACAGTATTTCATGCCGGCACATCGCTTGCAACTTTACAAAGCGCAAATTCGGCCCCACATGCAATAGTGTTCTCATCTCTGGGCCGGGGCACCCCAGTGCCAGCTCCTTCCACTTGACCGCATCCAGCGCAGAGCGAGTCGAATCGTCGACGACCAAGTTTTCTCTGATCGGCTCGATACACTGGCACTGCGTAGAGATGTTGAATCTCTTTGCATATTTTATCGCATCTATCACGGGGAGTGCTCTGAGGAATTGTACAGACTAATTCCAGCCGCTCAATTTCACCATCGCACATCGCGACAAAACTCGCGTTACCATCCATACCATCTGGATGATTGGCGGTCCACCACTGTGCGATTTAGAAGAAGTTTTCTACCTCGCACAACTTCCTTGTGGAATCAATTACCACCAGCGAATTTTCCGGACCGATACGACTTAGGAACCTTCAAGAAAAGAGCTTACACCTTTCTAAAAGGCCGGCAACGCATCTGCAATTCCCCTGGTGTTGCGGTTGTTCATGGGCGGCGGTAGTCACTTACCATCAGGTGAGCCGCATGCTCGTTTGCCCCCTATACTATAAAAAAAAAAATTCTCGGGAAAACGTCGCCGAGTGCCGGGACAAACTTGTGTCTGAAGATGAGTCTTTGCTGAACAAAGTCTCGGATTGAGGGCGACTAAATCTAGTCCAGTTCAATCCCCAAAACCCAGAAGACACAAGTTTGCGCGTTTACCGCTAAAAAGAACCCCTTTGTCGTATCTCCTCAGTTTCAAGGCCCCTTGTTGCCTCAGCCAGTATCGGAATCCTCGGCGTCGACATATCGAGTGACGTGCAGTTTCGTGGTCACTTGGAAGAGAAGGCCAAATTGGCCTCTAAAATGCTTGGCGTGCTCAGCAGAGCGGGACAGTATTTCATGCCGGCACACTGCCTGCAACTTTACAAGGCGCAGATTCAGCCTCACATGGAATACTGTTCCCATCTCTGGGCAGGGGCTCCCCAGTGCCAGCTCCTTCCACTTGACCGAGTCCTTTCCGATCGGCTCGATTCATTGGCAATGCGAAGAGATGTTGCATCCCTTTGCATTTTCTTTCGCATTTACCACGGGGAGTGCTCTGAGGAATTGTTCGGATTAATCCCAGCCGCCAAATTTCACGAACGCACATCGCGGCAGAACTCCCGATACCATCCACACCATCTGGATGATTGGCGTCCACCACTGTGCGATTTAGAAGATGTTTTCTTCGTCGCACAACTTCCTTGTGGAATCGATTACTATCAGCGATTTTTCCGGACCGATACGACTTAGGGACCTTCAAGAAAAGAGCCTACTCCTATTTAAAAGGCCGCATCTGCAATTCCCCTGGTGTTGCAGTTGTTTATAGGCGGCGGTAGTCACTTACCATCAGGTGAGCCACATGCTCGTGTGCCCCCTCTCCTATAAAAAAAAAAAACAAATGACAAATTAATAAAATACATACACAAAAGGCAAATAGGCAGAGTTCCATTTTCAAAATTTGATCTTATTTTTTATTATATCGTTTACAAGTGGCCAGTTCTAAAAACTTTCAGTGTCGCCCTCGTAATACTGTATTCTGCACGCTAGTTTACGTTACTAAATACATTAGTGTGCAGAATTGAATTTTACAAGTGAGTACGAGACAAAGGGCACACGGAATAAACACTTGTTTGTGTGACGAAAGCTCCTTGACGAGGCGTTAAGCGATATTATCGACAGAAACTAACACATCAAGTAACTCGCACCGTGCTTTTCACAGCTCGCATATTCCAGTAAGCGTTTTACAAAAGCATAATTAATGACATTTAAGCACTTAATGCTACTAAAAGTTTTACCCTCTAAATACAACGTTGCATTTTATACATTTTTTTCTGTTATGCAATTTATATGGTCCATAACTGTAAGTTTGGAATCGAACATTGCTCCTGCAACGAACAATTTACACCTTCATCCCTAAACGTACAATATTTTTGAAGGGGGATATTTATTGCGTATGGAAATAATATAGGCTTTGTATTTCGTGTAAAGGTTCTTTGGTTATAATTATTTACGTAGATTCCTTTTCTAGAAGTGTTGTAATATTTTAGCAAATTGTCTGAGTCATTTTGAAGAAGTAGGTACAAGTAATTGTATCCTCAACTTAGCTTACATTGCAGTAAGTTTCTTATCGTCAGTAAACATTATAAATTTGGTATGCATAAGATATGAGTTGATATCAAATAAATAAGAATTGTAGAGTAGTGGCCCTACGTGAGAACCTTGAGGTACTCCAGATATTATAGTTATAAAGTCTGATTTGCACACGCCTACAATTGTTGCTTGTCTTCTATTAGATATGTATATGACTATTATGCAGCGGTGAAAATCTCATTGGATACTTAATGCCTGTAGTTTGTGCAACTAGATAGCGTGATCCATTCTGTCAAAGGCCTTTTCGAAATCAGTGTAGATCACGTTAACGTAAGCACTTACTTTCATGCTGTTTAAAATGACGTTAGTAAAGATGCTGAGGTTAGAAATAGTCATGTTTTGTACTGTGTTTATTACTCCAACTACATTTGTGTAAAGATTACATATTATAGAATTTTCTCCAATGTTTCCCAAATGTATTTAAGACAGATTTTTAAAGTTAATGTTCTTCTATTTTAGTTTTTGTGTCTTTTTATGGATATGAATGATGTGTGCTTCTTTCCGTTCAGATGGAAACACCGTTTCACTTTACGATTTAAACTTAACTATACTAGTTACATTACACACGTTGAGACCGGCTCGTGAACTAATTCAACACGAGTCGGAAGAGTAAGTTTTCTACAAAAGAACATATCAGTTTTCTACAAAAGAACAGAGACCTAATCATCAAGCTCAGACGAACTGATTTGCTTACAGAGAAAGTATTTTCGGGCTATTCCAAGGGTATAGGCTTGAAGTGTCTCGTATCGTTATATATCCTTACATTTTGGTCCTGTTTCGTGGTATGAAGAAAAACACTGGACCGACGTTATGTAGCTTATAAACTGAATGAATCTCATAATTGAAAAAGAAAAACCAATAGATCCGCCATTGCGCAACAGATTATTCAGTTTTTATTTTCGTTGTGCTCCAGGTGAGAGACGGTTTACTTGATTCGTTTGTTTCATAAATATTTTTCATCAAATAATACTAATTTAGTAACGACGATTTGTCATTGATAACTATTCGGATATGCAAGCACAGTTTAACCATGTCGTTAGTAATGCAACAAGCGTTAGTAAGGACGACGTACCTCTGTCTTCACCGTAGGACTCTCGCTCGGGGGATAGCTCTTCGCCACTCCAGGCGCCAGCAAAGTCGTTGCCCTCCGCACCCTCGCAGCCCTCTGCTCCCGACCACCACTCCTCCAAGCATTCTACCCAACGAAACCCGCCATCAAACTACCGCGAGCTTACAATGCCATATTGCCTGATCTAAAGCTTCTAGCCACAATCGTAAATTGCGCCTAACTTAAAATGCGTTTAGGTAAGTAAAAAGCTGCGTTAGTATTATTTGTAAAAACCTTTTCATATTATGTTCAAGCAGACCCTCATCAGTTGATTATTATAATAGGGTTTTAAAACAACATTTTTTTGTAAGTAAAATGCGACATGGCCATGTAGTGTAAGATCATGAGAAAAAAATTGTAAATCGAATGGATAGGCGGATGCGTATGGTGACAGCATAATAATAAGGAGCATAATAGTCTCCGACATTGATCTGATATTTAAACCACATGAACAATATTCACACTAGCGACGGGAATCAGTATTAACGGTACGACTAGACTGATAGTGCAATCGTCAATAGGTCTGCTAAGCGACATCACGACATATCTTTGCAAATATGCGACTATGTGTATAAAATTTGATCCTGTGCTTGATAATTGGTCAACACGTACTTTTATAGGATAATTAAGCCTTTTAAACAGAAATGTCATACCAAATCGTATCATTAGTATTGGAAAAAAACACTTTTTCCACATGCTGTAAGAAAATTCCTATCCAATTGTATGCTATTGAACAATTTTCTGGATTGGATAAATGGAGGAAACATTACGAGTTAAATCCTTAACCATGCGAACCAATAATTTGCTTCCAAGGGTTTAAACTACGTGTTGTGATGAAATGATTTATTGATATAAGGTTTTAATTGCAATTTTGTATATTATAATGTAATGTAAAACATAATATTAATGGCAGTTGCCCCATTACCCCATTTTGTCCCGCTACTGTATATACTGTTGTACTGTCGTAATCATAGGAAGCTCTTATGCTAGTCATCCAGTGGCGTAGGCAGTGATTATGGACTTCAATTTGAAACAATGCTGACACACATCTTTCGCTTCTATCACATCTATATCTATCTAACGCATAAATGCTCGTCGGTTAATGGCACTCTTCTCTTGGCCTATTTACTTTTTCCCAATTTGGTCCATAAACTACTGTCTAAAGCGACCCTTGCAACTCCGCCATTCACATTTGGTCAAGGGATATGCTGACACTGCGATGGTTAATGAGCTTGATATATCCTTTAAGAGGCCCATGTCCAGCAGTTTATTTTTGAATTAGATTGTTGAAGATGGCATCAACTATCCAATCGGCTATGCTGGCTTGTAAGTAAAGTGCAAAGGCGCAGTGATATTGACCTGGATCGGTGACGAGGCAGGGCTCGGTTTCGGAGTCGAGCAGGTCGGCCGAGTTGTCGTTGTCGTCGGAGACGCGCGAGCGCTCGTCGTCAAGCGGGGCGCAGGCGGGGGCGGGCGCGGGCGCGGGCGCGGAGGCGGGGGTGGAACGCAGTGCGCGCACGATCGCACCCAGCAGTCCACCTCGTGCCTCTTCATCCGGCGACAGCTGTTCTCCGCTGTCACTGTGACTGCGGATACCACACGTTCATTTATACTCATGATTTTATTATTATAAACAACAGATATGTTGTAATTAAAGGAATAAGAATTTAAGACAAATTAAAAATCTGTACGGAGTCAAGAAAGATATCTATAAATGGGAGAGTCACTCCCGATTTTGTATTTTTCTTTTTTGGCACTAAACCAACGTATATTGAGAATATGAGTAATTTTGATTCATTAACAGAGAATTAGTTGACAACTTGACTACAGCGCCCCCTGTCGGATCCTAGCTAACTAGAACCATCATCTCGTATTGTATGAATATAACGTCAAGTCGTTCTGATGTTACACGATCACTAACACTTACCAATTAATATATACACGGTTGTTTTGCAATAACCGGCCAAATTTGCAGAAAAAGGTAAGAATAAGTAATATAGGCAAATGGCGAAGAAAAATTAATTAAAAATGTCTAAAACATTCTGTCCTTTTTATCTCTTAAATTCAAAATGCTTGGTAATGCATTATTTTAACTGATTTTACTGCGCACGCACACATTCGTAAAGGTTGATGGTTAGGCAAAGACGTTGTTGCCCATAAATCAAATTCAATTTGGGATCATTTAAAATAAAAGTAGAAATCTTATTTACTCATATTTTCACAAACTGCAATAAGGGTATCATCTATACAAATAAATAAAATTGAAGCGTCTGTTTATAATGTCAAAAACAACAGATTTTTACTAAATTAAAAAAAGTATATAACGTACTTATAACAAAAACACAAATTCTAAAATTATTGTCTGTCTGTTTGTTCCGGCTAATTTCATCTAGGTTATTTATATATTTGAACTTAAGCTTAAATTTGGCTACTTTTTGAAAAATAACCCTGTATAAATATTAGCGACCAGCTTCAGCGTCGCTTTTATTTTATAAATTTTTCAATTTCTCAAAAAAAAAAGTCAAGTTTTTCTTTATATCTGTTCCAGTATTGCTCCATATCTGTTCACCAAATTTTATTAAGATTTTCTGAAGATTATCCCGAAAGGACAGACAAACAAAAATTTTAAAATTGGTTATTTATGTCTAAATGGCATGTAAATGCCTCTTTATTATAATAAAAGGTAGTTATTTCTATATTGAAAAGAGACACTTAAACTTTAATTATACGTATTATGTCCTCCAGACCGAATTTCGATCAAAGCGGTCAGCTTCAACGGTGACAAGCTATTTGCGTAGGACAGGATTATAGTGCCCTAGGATATATGTTCAAGCACAGGTACACTCTTTATAAGCTCACTCTCATTATCCGATGGGACGATAAACCTTCACGACCGGAGACAGAATAGGCGCAGGACGAACGGTGTAACGTGCTTTCTGAGGCCCGGGGGTGAAACATCGCCAACTTCTGATTTCGGGCTGCTACATAGAATTTCTTACAGAAAAATCTAATAACTATTTTTGCCCGACGAGATTCGAACGTGAGACCTTATGATCAGCAATCAGCAAGCAGCCAGCGCGTCGAGAGCCTGTATCTGTGGCATACGCGGTGTAGTGTACCTGTGGCAGGCACGATGTATTGTACCTGTGGTAAGCGTCGTTGTGGTAGAGCGTGGGCAGCGCGGCATCGCGTGGCAGTGCGTAGGCGCGCAGCACCTGGTCGGTGAGCGCGCGCAGGCGGCGCGCCAGCGCGTCGAGCGCGGACGCCGCGCCGCCGCCGCAGCGCGCGCGCGCCGCCGCCGCCAGCGCCTCCTGCCGCCGCTGCTCGCACATGCGCACCAGCTGCCGGCACTCCGCGCGCCTGTCAAACACAAATAATAAATTATTATTATACTTATATAAACACTTCAATGAAGTGTGAATCATGTGTGTACTTTATCACTTATCAATATTTGTTTAGCGACACCTCCAAACAAAAATACAAGCCAAGAAATATCTCACAAGCAACTGAGTTAGCACCGTTTCGGTTACGATGTGCTAAATCACTTGCTTTCCCCTTGACTATTATACCTAACCACTCTGCGCGAAGGAATCTTTCCGCATAAATAGAAGTGTGCACACAGTCCCTGTACACAAGAACGGAACACGTACGAAAATACAGAATTATAGAAGCATTTCTATTTTGAACACCACAGCTAAAATCCTTGAACGAAAAGTTTATAAGGTAATTTACTCTACGCTCTCACGCTCCATCCTCGAGCAGCAACATGTTTTTTGCAAAGGCGATCCACCACTATCAACCTGACAAATTTCTACTTTTGTCTTTGACAATATGGATCAAAGTAGACTGCTGTTATCTACACAGATTTTGAAAAAGCTTTCGATTGTGCAGTGGAATTACTGAATTATAATCAGCTGACTAGCGATGCCGAATTCACGCGGCCCGCAGCTAGCGATGATACCACAATACCTAATAATTTACAACACTTGCCTAAATACCTAGCTTATCTACTTAACCCACTATTTTGCCACTGTGCTTGTCTCCACCTAGCCTCTTTATTCACATGTTAAATAAACCAAATACCTGGTTCGGTCCCCCGCTAATAAAAAAAATACTTAAATGAAATATTAACAAGGTTATAGTCATGCTTCTTTAACTATCGTGTAGGTATATGTTTATTATTCTGATTTATTCAGTTATATACCTATTCAGATGAGTTCAGTACTAAGTTATTATATTATAAAAAAATAGGTATGAAACAGCTTACCGATCTAAATCTTATGAGATACCCCAAGACACATTAACATGTTGCCGTATTCACGAGCACTATAAACGTACCGTACGCGTTAGGCATTATTAAAACAAAACAAGATAAACAAAACGTAAAAACAAGAATGTAATAAACAAAACGATTGAATTGTCGCTCTCGCGCACGTGATAGTCAACACGGAATTGTCTCAAAAACTAAAATTAATAATCAATCCCGCCAAAACAAATGCGAACGAGGCATTCGTCCTTGAAGCACTGAGCTCTTCCACAGACCGTAAAAGCCATACGCCATTGCCAACGTTTATTTTATTTATAAGTTTAGTTATCCCTACGACTAGTCTTCATATGGAATTTAGAAGTTATGGTTGTCATTTTTATTACAATTACACAATCAATTGTACCCTGACGCAACAAGCAGTTATATAATCCGACCGATACTGTGAATTTAAAAAGTGGTACGTCAAAATTATTAAAAATTACTTGCAAGTTTCATAGCGATTGTCGCCTCTAATTCTTATGTCGCCGGCAAACTAAATTTCGGTGCAACGTGGCAACGTTGTCAACACCAAATTGTCAAATTCCCCGAAAATTCATGTCAAACTCCCCAATTTGAGGACAAAACTTCAACAGATTCCCCACTAATTCACCTCAATTTTATTTTAAGAAATGAATCAATTTTCAACTAATTTTATAAGATTTACTTTTTAACTAACATTTTTTATTTTAGAATTAAAAAAATAAAGAAATCAAAAGCATTAAATGATACACAAAAGTTGCTGAAATAAATCCGAAAATTAAATGTGGTGCAATGAAGATAATTAAAAAAAAGAAGTCATTCGATATTCATAAGTAACCTAACAAATGTTAAGATAGTTATTTAGATTTCTTGAAAAAAGGTTCTGACTTGGCCCTGGTTATCGACCTATCGATTTTCAAAATCCCCGTATTTTCCTCGCATAATACCCATATAAATCTCCAACCAACTTTAAATACCCCGCAATTTTGGGAATTCCCCACATGTTGGCAAAGCTGACATGTGTAAATTTCACAACACGAGGAAACACGAGCCGGCGGTAGCGCGTGTCTGAAAGAGAAGGGTAGAGTGAGTAGGCATTGTTTTGCACCGAGCTAGATACAGGTCCCATCACATAAAAAGAACGTTGAGTAACAGTGGAGGGAATGTGTCTGCGCATGGGTACAGTCTCGTTCTAAAATACTACATGGTACTAGGCTATTGTTTTATAATAGTAATTAATTGTTTTATTGTAGAATCATAATAGGTACTTTACTAACTACTTAGAACTTTGGAAGAGGTAGGAATTAAAAATCAATAATGTTTACTTGAGCATTATTTTTTATTTCTGTCGTAAAATATAAAGTAGTTTGTAACATGAAAATTAAAGCTAAGGGTGACACGCCGTTTATTATATCGTCTTAGGTCACATGGAAGCCAGATATCGATGGTGTGTTTGTGTTACTGGATGCTACTTCATCATCACTTTCATCTTCGCTTGAGCCTACGCCATCAGAATCATCATCATCAATGCGAATGATATATGTTTCCATCATCAGGTCGACCACATGGCAATTTTTTCGGTATTCTTCCTCAATATTTTTAACTTTACCACACAATTTTCCACATTCACCTCCTCCCATCATATTTGTGCTATGCCTGATGTGCGATTCATACAGTGCTCAGTACGCAAAGCACTCCTCTCTCTGGTCATCCACAAGTCGAGTGGGCCTGACGGAATCCCGCCAATTGTGCTGAGGACGTGTGCTCCAGAGTTGGCACCGGTTCTAACGCGTCTTTTTCGGTACTCCTACTCCCTAGACGTTGTCCCTAATTCACGGAAGACAATTTTCATTCACCCGATCGCTAAAAAATGTAACCGCTCTGATCCGTCTAATTACGGGCCTATCGCTATCATCTCCTTGTTCTCGAAAATAATGGAGTCCATTATTAACTACCAGCTCATGCGGTACCTTGAGGAGCACCAGATGATTAGTGACTGTCAGTATAGTTTCTGTCGGGGTCGCTCAGCTGGTGATCTTTTTGTTTACCTAACACATAGATGGCCTTCGATCGGGTCTGGCACAAAGCGCTTCTTTCGAAGCTTCCTTCCTATGGGCTTCCCGAGAAATTTCGTAATTGGATCACCAGTTTCCTGGCGGATCGGAGCATCAAGGTCGTAGTAGACGGTGCGTGCTCCAATTACAAGCCTATTAACGCTGGTGTTCCACAAGGCTGCGTGCTATCACCAACGCTGTTTCTTCTGCATATCAATGATATGTTGCAAACCGGTAACATATATTGCTATGCGAATGGCAACACTGGTGATGCTTTATATACCGGACGTGCCAGTATTTCTCGGGAAAACGTCGCTGAGTACCGGAACAAATTTGTGTCTGAAGTTAAGACTTTATTGAAAAAAGTCTCGGATTGGGGACGACTAAATCTAGTCCAGTTCAATCCCCAGAAGACACAAGTTTGCGCATTTACCGGTGAAAGGAACCCCTTTGTCCTGTCTCCTCAATTTCAAGGCACTCCCCTTGTTGCCTCAGCCAGTATCGGAATCCTCGGCGTCGACATATCGAGTGACGTGCAGTTTCGTGGTCACTTGGAAGAGAAGGCCAAATTGGCCTCTAAAAACCTTGTCGTGCTCAGCAGAGCGGGACAGTATTTCATGCCGGCACAATTCCTGCAACTTTATAAGGCGCCGGTTTCGCCTCACATGGAATACATGGCTAAGTCCATTTGACCGTACCCAGCGTAGAGCGGTTCGAATCGTCGATGACCGAGTTCTTTCCGATCGGCTTGACTCACTGGCACTGCGTAGAGATGTTGCATCTCTTTGCGTATTTTATCGCATGTATCACAGGGAGTGCACTGAGGAATTGTTCGGACTAATTCCAGCCGCTCAATTTCACCATCGTACATCGCGACAAAACTCGCGATACCATCCATACCATCTGGATGATTGGCGGTCCACCACTGTGCTAATTAGAAGATGTTTTCTTCCTCGCACAACTTCCCTGTGGAATCAGTTACCACCAGCGATTTCTCCGGACCGATACGACTTAGGGACATTTAAGAAAAGAGCCTACTCCTTTTTAAAAGGCCGGCAACGTATCTGCAATTCCTCTGGTGTAGCAGTTGTTCATGGGCAGCGGTAGTGACTTAACATCAGGTGAGCCGCATGCTCGTTGCCCCTCTCCTATAAAAAAAAAACAACTCCAAAATACCGTACCCGCAGCGCTAATTGGTACAGACTCCTTGGCATCATTTAAATTGCTACCGTAACATTGTTCTTTCGCGACTCCCTCGTATGTATAATGAAGTTTGGACACATTGACCTCTTTGCGAAATCCAAATTCATGTTTGAAGATGACATCTAGAAAACGATTAGGAACTTAGTTGAAGTTAATAAATCATCACATAAAATCTATACAAATAAATAAAATTGAAGTGTCTGTTTGTAATGTCAAAATTACAGCTTTTTACTAAATGCATATAACAAAAAAATTAGGGCCGATAATGCCGTGACTGGAAATGGCTCACCAAACTGTTGTCTTCGGGCTGCGCAAAGGCCTTTTGATGAACTTATTTGGGGCTATGTTCGCTCCAATATCGCATATTCTGCTTATGTGATGGGGATATGTCACCCAAACGTGAAAATGCGCCTCGTCACTAAACAGTATGTTACCTGAACGCGCAAGAGTAAAAAATCGTTCCAAAACGATCCTAGCGTAATTTTCTCTTCTTGTGTAATCATCTGCTTTCAGTTGTTGAACGGCTTGCAGCTTATAAGGATTGAACTTTAAGCGCGTCCGCAATATTTTATGAATATACTTTTTTTTTCATGCCCACAGACGCTGCAACCTTGCGAACAGATATGCGTAGATTTCGCAAAATTTTTCAAACGCGACTCACGTATTCAGGAATCGTTGCAGAAGTTCAAGGGCCAGGCCTAGGCTCATTTCCAACTGTTCTTGTCTCTCTGAACTTCCGTACTCATGTCCATATTAACGTCGTGGGGAACAGCTAGTCAATAATATAATACTGATTTCTTATATTTACGCGAAGACTCCATATTAAATGAATCAAATTTTTACGGATTTTAGCGCGTTTAATTTAACTTTTTAATTCCCGACATTTCGGGTGCTTTACAGTGCCCCCCCGTGACCACGGGTGCTGTTATTAGTACTGTTATTAGTTTCATTTAATAATTTAATACGTTTATCAATAATAATATACATACTACGAAAGGAACTTCGTTCCAACCGAGTGTTCCACGATTCTCACGCATGTTTTTGTTTACATTATCTACCTATTTCATCCGAGCTAAGCATCGCGATTCCCGACGAAAGGCCTTGCAACTTGCATGCGTTGGGCATCACAGAACTCACATAGTAGCGGAAATATGGTCGGTCAATTATAATCAGAATAGGTATTTTACCTAAATAGTAACTTACTTAAAATTTCGGTATGTACTTTTCACTCTTTATTGACAGCCCTTAGTAATCACGGAAACTCCGCCGTGACGTAGGAAGGGGAAAAGATGTAAAGTAATACGGAGACTCTCGAGCAACGATAAAGTTTTATTTAGCTTGCGTTAGCGATTTATCTAATTAATAATAATTATGTAGACTATTAAAACATCGGCAAGCTCGAATATCAAAGGAGTGCAACTTCTGTACGTAGAACTATTATTTATTCTGTGCCGTAAGTGCGACAGAGAGCGCGACAGGTGGCGTCCTGTTTCCTTATCTTATTGCACCGCAGGCAGAAGGGTTTAACATTAGTATAGACAGAGATTTTTATCTATAGTGATTTTTTTTAAATGCAGCTTTTAAAATAAAATTTCGTATTTTCTTAAAAAATATTTTGTCAACACGTGTTCATCACAGTTATTATTTTGATGCTGGTGTTCCCCTAAGGCCGGCGCCAGATACAGCTTTAAACATTTGAACAGCTGTTTGAAGTTATGTGTGGCACGGGACTTTGAATCAATGTTGAAATAAGAGCGCAAAGAAATGCACTTTGCCAAGCGATATCGGTTTTTTAGCGCACATCAAAGCGTTCAAAGTCGACAGTGTTCAAATGTTTGCATAGCCTGCCACACTTGCGTTTTGCGCAAAGTTCAGTCGCGCGTGCGTTGTTGAGCGGGACGATCGTGCGTAGTACGTTTTAAAAATAGGTCCAAACCTAAAGACAATAAAAAATAATCGAATGAATGAGATTTGTATGGTCAGCTTTTATCTGAAAAGTTAAAACCCTTGGATGAAGATGACATACTGGTACTTATGAATGAAATAGATAATCTTGTATTTAAATATTTTTATTGTATTATTTTTGCATATGTAATAAATAATGACATGCATTTAAATAATACGGCACACTGCATCCACAAAATCGTCGTCCATCTTGTTTGTCGTTTTACAGCGTACTGTGGAGAGATGTGTTTACAAAGCATGTCTGGCGGGTTGCGCCAATAAGTGTTCAAACAAGTGTGCGAAGTTCTTCAAATAAGTATTCAAATGTTGCTATATCTGGCGCCGGCTTAACACAAATGGTGGATATACAACTCTAAAGTGGTCTCAAGATATCGGTGCTAACACTGCGAGCACGTTGGAGTAGCCAGTACTGCTTTTGGGTTTAAAACGGCCATTGGCCTTTCATATACGCTGATGGTGACTACCGTGAGGTTTTTGTCATAAAAGTCTGGCATAACCCTTCCGTGCCCCACAACGAAAAGTGATGGGGACTTCCCTAGGGTTAAAAGCCGTATAGAGGCTCCTCTCCCTTGTTACAACATCCGATATTATAATGATGTAATTTCTATGGCAATCTAGTTTGCCTGTAGATTAATTCTGGCTAGACTTTGATGACAAACAAAACAAATAGCAGATGAATTAAACGGGTGTTGTTACAGAAAGTATTATATAACGGACAACCCAGTCCACCATTTTCGTGTAAGTGTCACCTGCGCTCAAGGTCGGCAGTGAGGCGCACGAGCTCGGCGTCGGCCTCGCGCAGTGAGTCGCCAAGCGCGCTGGTCTCGGCCGCGAGGAAGTCCTGCATCTCGGCCGCCTCGCGTTCGGCCTCCACCAACCGCGCCTCGGCAATCCGAGCCGCCTCGCGGGCACTCAACGCCTCCTACGGTGAGAAGTGCTCGCGCATTAGAGGTGGAGTATAGCTAAAACATTCATGGTAAGAATAATGCACAGAGCAGAGTATATCCAAGCTGTCACGATAAGGGTTAGAGTAGATATAAGTAACGACGAATGAATTTATTGATAACAATTAAAATACAATTTTAACTACTTTTGCATACGTCTAATATTGTTGTCAAAAGTTATTTAAAAAAAGTCACGGAAGAGCGAAAACCAGGCTTTCATCCGGGTAACCTCGGAGATCTTAACACTTGAGATTCAAACTTAAGCTTGATTTGATTTGTGCTTTCTTATGAACTCTCCTAGTTTTTTATATTTCGATAAATTGTAAAAGAAAAAAAAAAGAAAAATCTTCTAAATAAAAATAGAACGTTATGCTACGCTAAAAAAAACCAAAAGAAAGTACATAGTACATTCGATTCTACGAATACATCGCAATTAACCTTCAAGTGGTATATATCACTATCATGCACTAGCCTATTAATATATATAAAAAAAAAAACTTGCTTACACTGTGTAATCTGTTACAATGTTCTCGTAAGGTGTCTATTTCTCCGCGTTGCCGCGCGGCTAATTCTCCCGCAGACCGCAGTTGCTCCTCTAGTGCCCGCAAACACCCCTCCGCTCCTGCACCAGCACCTTGAAATTTAAGAAAAATATATAATAGTAATTTCTTTGCAACTACACGACGTAAGAGAATTTAATATACCAAATCAACTATGGCAAATATAGTTGAAGTGATTTTCGGGAATATCAGTAATATTCAGTATGGGCAGGTTGGACAAAAATATTTTATTTTAGACACGATTTTCAGGATCTATAATTGATTCTTCTTCAAATAGTATATTCTAAATGTTCGCATACATGGAATACTCAATTAAATTCTTGTTGTTGATGATTGATGATGTTGTGATGTTTGAAAAACGAAAAAATAAACTGTGAAGTTCTAGTTCTCGTTTTTTTATTCGATAACCATATAAAATTTTTCGATTTTTGATGGCTCCGTGGCGCAGTGGCTTAGCAATGAGTTGATGCGATAAGGGCCGCGGGTTCGAATCCCGCACGGAACAAGTATTTGTCTGGCCTACAAATAATTGTTCCGGGTCTGGATGTTTGTCCTCGTGCAATTTATGTTTGTAAATTGCCTCCACGATACAGGAGAAAATCCTAATGTGGGGTTAACGTTCTACTTATATAAAGAAAAGAAAGATTATATAAAGGACATGTTATTGAATTGGATTCTTTAAGGGCTACATTTTTAAATACCTTTATTTCCTGCTAATAAGTAAAAACGTTTCAAATAAAGTAACTATTTGTCCACTGAATGTCTCACGCCTACTTCTTACTGGGAAAACATGCATGCGGCGGAGAAAGGAGCGCTAAATGCCTTTAAACCTAGGAAATCCTCACCTTGATAGCGTTATAAGTATTATTTTTGTAAATAAAAAAAAAAAAACAATATACCTGCACCGGCGAGTTCGAGTAGTCGCTGCGAGTTTCGCTCGAGTTCGGCGATTGCTGAAAGGCGGGCCGCGCGTTCTGCTGCGAGTTGCGCCTCTGCGTGCAAACGTCGCTCGCGCTCCTCGGCGGCACTTGCTTCTGCAGCCGCCGCCGCCGCCGCTAACCGCGCCGCTTCTACGTCGCGTGCACTTGCTTGCACGCCGCGGTGGCAACGCGACACTTCTATACGGCTGTGGTTAAACATAAGTACACCATTTTTTTTTTATAGAATAAAGATGACAAACGAGAATACAGTCCACCGGATGAAAATTGGATACTGAGGCCCATAGACATTTTTATTTATCCTCGATTAAGAATCAATATGCAGATGCGTTGCCACCGGTCTAAGATGGAATGCCTAGTATCCAGTATAGAAAAAATTTAAAAATGACTACCACAAAGTTTATGAAAAACGTATAATGACGACGTTAGAAAATCTCATCACCTCATCTCATCTCGTGAAAAACACGATAAGGGAAAACTCTAGAAACATCTTGTGGCTTTCAATGGATGACGGTAGTACTAATAAACGCTGACGAGGAACAGCGTGAAAAATGTGAAGGGTACTGCGATCGCTATTCTGTTTGTCAAGCTGATGGTGAATATTATAAAATCTTTCCTTTGTCTGAGAAACTCCTATCCAGAAGCTGGAATTTTAATATATTGATGAAATACATGAAGAACTATGTGTTATATATAGTAGGCTATTTATAATATATAAGATATGGTACGGTTATGAATAACGTAATATATTTTTAAAGAGAAATAATGTATCACTTTTAAAATAAATGGAGAACTAAACTGAATCTGGTGTAAGTATCATATGAGGAACTCAAGGGATTTTTTTTTATAAAAAATAAAGAGAAAATGAACTTACAATCCATTTGATGATAAGTGCTAAGCTAGTGCAGCTCATAGACACCTGTAACCAACTGCAAATAAAGAAGCCCATAGATGCGTTATCACCTCTGAGGACAAAGATGGAATGCGTCAAGCCTGTAATTAAAGTATAGGTATACTGGCTTAAGGTATTGGTATAAGTATACTGGCTTAATATACTCGTACCCTTCACAAACCGGAACACAGCAATGTAATTTAGTGTAGTAGAACTACAGCAAAAACAGCCTGAAAAATGCTAATCATGAGATCCCGCGTTCGAACCTCAGATCATGCTAGAACATAAAGCCGTTGGTCCTCCGCTCGATTTCTCCAGTCGTGTCGGATTGCCGTCCCATCGAACTAAGGGACAGAGTGCATCTGTACTTGCGAACACACTTGTGCACTATAATCCTATCCTGTGTAGATGGCTAGCCTCCGTTGTGACTGGCCGCCGTGACTTCCGCCTGAAGGACATTATCTTTATATATAAAAATTACGTGTCACATTGTTTGTCCGCGATGTACTCCTAAACTACTGAACTGATTTCAATGAAATTTTGCACACTGTGTGCAGTTTGGTCCAACTTGAGTGATAGGATAGTTTTTATCCCGATAAGTGACCCTCAATATTTTTTTATTGCGAATTTAAGATTTTTTTTTTTTTGGAAATGTCTTCGGAAAGGGCAGTACAACGTCTGCCTGGCCAGCTAATTATATTATAAAGTGGAATTCTAACATTAGAGGTCCTAATACAATAAATATAAAAAAATATAATAAGCGAAACAATTATATTTCAATATAGTGACTATGGAGTGAGGCAGTAAGTAACAAAATATTCATTAGAAAAATACTATATATATATATATATATATATATATATATATATATATATATATGTTTTTATTTTTTTTCTGTCAAGCGTGGCAACTATGACATATAACATATATGAAGGAGACCTATGTTCAGCAGTGCTTTTGGTAGGTTGAAAAGGTGATGATGACGATACTAATCTTACCTTTCAATGCTCGGTATTATGCCAGCTAACGCTGATTCGACATCCGTTCCTATTAATACAGTCTGGCAATTCTTCTCCGCGTAAATGCGTACTCTCGTCTTCACCGTTGATCGGGAAGACGCAGAGCGGGTGATGGTCGGCCTCCTGGAGGTGGGCGGTGTGTTCTCGTGCTTGGGTGAGTTTTCTGTGTCAGCTTCTCTTCGCCTTCGCGGTAAAGTTCCGTATTTATCAGCGGCCACTCTTGTCGCACCTGAGTCCGAGACGGGTGTTAACCGTGGACCGTTAGGAGGCCATTTCTTTTCGTCGCTCGGAGAATTTGGAGTACGACACCTCGCAGTAGACGTTTTTGTAGGTTTGGCACGCAGGGCAGGACTTTCCCGGATTAAGTTTGGAAGATCAGTTGTGGGTCGGATTCGCGGTTTCGGTGTAAGAGGACGTGGCTTTTCAGGTGGTGTTGGCTTCTCTCTACTTCTGGCGCGTTCGCGTGTTGCTAGGTTGGGACCACGCGGCGCGGTGGTCGGACGGGGCGTGGACGATCCAAGAGGAGAATTCTTCTTTGATTCTATAACTGTGACGTTGCGGCGTCTTGTGCGAAGCGGTGCTCCCGCTAGAGATGAACTTTCGGAGCCGCAGCCTGAGCCGCAGGACACCACACTCGAAGCACACGACCGGGAGCCTCCGCCGCTGCTAAGAGCTCGACCACATCCTTCTACTCCGCTATCACTACCCGCAGCTCCAAGTGCCAGCTCGTCGCCCGCGGGTAAACTGTCCAGGTCTCCCAAAGACCGCGCGTCGTCAATCACTTCACAGACTTCGTTTTCTAAAAATGATTCCACTGTCACGTTTTTACTGTCCTCTAAACCATCTAGAATGACACCGCTCTCATTTTTATTGTTCACACACGCACTAACATTCGCTTCTTTTCCGTCGCTCGCATGATTTGTTTCCTTTTCAGGAACGTCCCCGTTGATTAATGAGTCCGTTTGAGGCGCCTCGCGCAATTCGCTTGAACTTATTGCACTTTCCTCCTCCATTTCGGCTATTGAAGTCACATATTCTAAAAAAGAAAAAGAAAACATGATATTATTTTTTCATTTAAAATAAATAGGGCAGTTGTCTTATACCGACTGCCAAGTAATCGAGTTCGGTGCAGCGGTATTGTGAGGGATAACGTTCATTATGCGGCGGCCCCTTGGGTCACGAACTCACGTAGCAGCCATCTTTAGGGAGCTTATTCTTATTGTTCCTTGTTCGCTTATTCTAAAACCGTTAATGGTACACCGGCATTATATAGTCAAAGTACTTGCATTTCATTTGAAACAGACCGTGAAAATAATCAGCCTCGACTCAGAATCTGACATTGATATAATATAAATAAAAAAACAAAGCCTTTTCGAACATTACTGTGTCGGTAGTTAGCGTGACATTATGGCTTCTTCATTTCTGTACCTTGTTTATTTTTGCATTTGCAAACTTATTACACTATACAGTTTGGGAAATTAAATAAAAGGCTAAAATTTGCTTAAATTTTAACAACAATAAAAAAACCCTTATATCCACTACACCAGATTAATCATTAAAATTTAATTTACAGTAGGTGGCGCGCGTATCGTATCGACAAATTTATTTGAAATATTATATATCATTCCTAATTAAACAATATAACTCTTACAAATTTAAACGATATTTCCACAATTATTTCTTCTGCGGCAGCAATGCGCCGGGTAGCAGCTAGTTATATATAACATCTTTTTGGAATATTCTCTTTCTAAATCTGACATAATTTAGTTCTGCCCCGTATGTCCAATCGTGTTTTAATAACCTAGAATAGCTATTGTATCACTACCATATTATTATTGCGTAAACTGAATACAAGTAAAAAAAGTCAAACGTGGTAGAGCCATGCTACAGCTATATTAGTAGTATAGTTGTAGTACGAATGGGTCGGCTCGACCGGGGAAGGACCACGCTCTCACAGAATACCAGCGTAAAATAGCAGCATAACACTGCTGTGTTTCGTATAGTGAGTGTAGAGAACCGGAGACCCTTTTTACTGGAAAAGAGGCATTCTATCTTAGTCCTCACGGGTGATAACGCACTGCATTTTGATTCGCAAACGAGGATAGATGTAGATGTCTATGGGCCACAGCAGCCACTTACCATCAGGTGGACTGTGTGCTCGTTTGTCACCCTATCCTATAAAAAAAAGTCCGCAGTATTACCAGAGTAACTGACATCGCCCAACCAATCAGTAAGTTGAAATAGCAATAGGTCGGCCATATAGCTCGAAGAACCGATGGAGAGTAAAGTTCTCAAGTGACAGCATCACAACGGAAAGGGAACTGTAGACGGCTTCGTGGCGCAGTGGTTTAGCAATGAGTTGCTGCGCTGGGGGGCGCGGGTTCGAATCCCGCACGGAACAAGTATTTGTATGGCCTACAAATAATTGTTCCGGGTCTGGATGTTTGTCCTTGTGAAATTTGTGTTTGTAAACTGTCTCCACGATACAGGAGAAAATCCTAGTGTGGATGTAATGTTTTTTTTAAAGAAAAAGAAAGAAAAAAAAGAGTCGGCTCAGGACAGTGTTCAGTAGTGGACTTGTAATAGGTTGTAATGATGTAGATGATGACGCTAATGAAACTGTATATTAAAGTTATAATTTTTTTTTAATTTATGACGGTGGATGTTTAAAATTATATCCGAACACAAAGAAAAATAAGTAATAAATAATAACAATTTTTAAGTGTACCTACTGTGCACAGCAATTCGGCAGATAAAATCTTCGCGTCGCAATAAACCCTGACATAATATGCTTTGTGTAGGATGTGAAAAATCAAACTAAAATGTAAATTTGTATTAAAGTTGTTATTAGATATTGACTGCATTTTAAGTTGCATTTACCTTGAAATAACCTTAAATTGGCGGTGTGTCACGTCTGTATCATAAAAAATTACATTTAGGAAAGTGAACTCTGTAATTACACTCAACTCTATTCCAGTCTCATGCGCAGTTAGTACCCTTATTATTGTTATATGGGGTTTGTTAAATCTTTGGTTTGTATCATATTTTATATCAGACTACTGAGTTGAATGTTATCGTATTTGTGATACGGTGACATCCACATACCACGCGTAGTTTACGTAGCACTTTTACTTACATAGCATAGTTTTACGCAATATTTATCGATCAGTGTGTTACAGGCATTTGTATCAAGCGTTCGTTTTCTTTATCACTCTCATATTGTGATGTGATTGAAATGCAATCGTCATAATATAACGACTCATAATTCTCAGAATGTATATTTATTAAACAGAAGTGATGTTAATTAATACAAGCCATGGCAGCAAATGAGCTAACAGTCCTGATGGTAAGTGGTTACTGCCGCCCATGGGCATCTTCAACCCACATCAAACAAAAAAGGCTGCAAGAAGTCGCCTCCGCGAACTGCGATGGAATGTAATAAATTTATCAATACAGCCGTTTTAACGAGACGTAATCATATAAAAAGTTGTTCTCAAGTCCTGGTGGTCTATTGATATCATCGCAGCGTTTATTATTTATCTACATTTATTTAATATGTGTGTACATGTTCTTCTGGAAATACTAACGACGTTTACAATGCTCAGCTTTTAATAAATTACAATACTTCATACGAACATGATAAGTAAATTTATTTAATAGCCAATTTGTATTTGCAAATTAAATTGCCTGGAGCGGTTATATAGATTAATTTAGATGTTTTTCGATATGACAAGATTTATTGTCGACATAATAATTTGTATGTATTTTATTTTTAACTTTCTATATATTTTCAAGACCTGCTAAGAGATGCGGAAAGTCGATGATGTAGGTGACGCAAGACCGTGCTTTGTGGCATTCCTTGGGGCAGGCCTATGTTCAGCAGTGGACTTGTGAATGGCTGCAATGAATGAAGTTAACGTTGTTGGAGAATTTGACTTAATCGTCAAGACGACGTCAGACGTCTCAAACTTGACGCAGCTTCCTGTCGTCATTCTGGGCGTTTTTCTTTTACTAGTTACTTAAACGAGATGGTCATACAGCATACTGCCGTCAATCGAAACCTATGAGACCTTTCTGAAATTTCTCATTGTTGCCCCATACTAGGTACGTGAAATGCCATATACCATGGAATGGAATGGGGTGATAGATTCCAGACAAAAATCTATAATGCTCATTTTTGAATAAAATAATACAAGCGAGAGGTTAAATAATTGATTGAATTCTATTTTATGCCGTATTATATGTCAATAACAAAGCACGATTCTGAGCCATGTGCACTTGCAGCATTATGCTCGTAAATAACAACAAACATGTACAAAATTATGACTGCAATAAATTTCACCAAAACGACTGATAAGAAGTCGATCGCTCACAGATATATAAAGTTTCGTATCAATGCTCTGCGCTTACGATAAGATTAAGGTATGAAAGGCTACTTGAGCTCGAAGCGAGTGAAGCTTTAAATTCTTCGAATATCACATCGGATCCGAGAATACTGTAATAGTGTTTTGTGATTTGTGAGAGACGTGAGCGTGAGGTCGTCGCACTGTAATTCGCTGGGGGCTATCTCATCGGTTAAACTATTCGATGTTTTTAATTAGGGCTGCAGGGTACGCCGTATAAAAAAAATAGTAGAGACTTCTTTTTAATAAAATATTAGGAGTTTTGAAATAAAAAAATAAAATAAAATCGATATTACATATAACGTTACTTTAAAGTACATTGTATAGGAACGTAATTTTAAACATATGACTCAATACCAATTTATGGATACCTATATTTACATTTTCAAATTTCGAATATCAATTTTTGAGGGAATACAAGTAGCATCGCGGAAAAGTTTACGAGTTATTTTTCCAGTTGGATAGTACTGTTGTTTGTTTGTTTTATTGTTTTTAATCTTTACAATAACTTAAGTTTAAAACAGTTTGTAAATATAGTGATGAAATCTTATTTTTTACTAAGTAGGCCATGATTCAACTATTATTAATTGAACCCTGCCTGGTTTAATCTTTATGGTATAATGTTTTAGTTTTAATTTTATCAGTAGCCTACAATTTATTACCTGGATACCAGCGGGAAAAACATCTAGATTCTAGGTAATAAATTCGATTTACAGAACTTTATTGAACATAACAAAGCCGAAATACAGAAATAAGGTCGCTTTCTCGGGGGATTTCCTCGAGCATTTCATTAAACATAAAAACATCTTTAAAAGTGTGACACGGTTCGTTATTAACATAAGGTAAAAAACGTTTGGAACGGTGTTATAATGAATCTCTATGAAGAGTTTAGTATTTAACATGTCATCACGTGTTGACCGCGCTGCTACTCACAACCCTACATGTAACTAGGATTGTTCGTTGAAGTCTTGGTGTTTCATTAGTCATGGTAGCGGGCCCCCGACGCGCCGTCTGCGCATTCAATATAATATAAAGCGCGTGTTTATTTTACCGACACCGCGAGCCGCGAAGCCGAGGCTTGTGTTTATTAATTAAACAAGTTAGAAAGGCCATGGTGAAGGCCTCGCCAGCCGATGAAGTATTAAAGTTAAATAATTGAACACTGGTCATAATTTAAACTAGTTTTTTTACACTAGTCGAAACTTTCATAGACAATTATCATTAATATTCGAGGGAAAATATCGTATTTGTAAGAGAATTAACGATAAATAAGATGCTCGTTGGAAATATCTCTGTTGTTTGAAAGATAACCTATTTCGTCAATTGGTAGATGGATAAACAATACCATTAGATATCAACCTATTTATAAATAAAAATAATAATATCTACGCAGACACACAAGTCTATTATGATTTATTCATATTATACACTAAAAGGCAACACTACTGGAAACTATCATTATGAAATATAGAGAGAGCGCATTCTTTCCAAAACAATGCATTGGAATAAGCTCAGAGTAAAGTTAATATTCAAGCTAAGTACAAATTGCTTTGTTTGCTATCAATTCGGGGCACGTCACATTGTCTGCTTTCCACCGCCAAGCTGCAACT